TGGGTCTTATTCAGGGTGAGTCAGACTAATGGTCTAGCCACTACAGATGGCCAATGTCAAGGAAAATAACCTCTGACCTACTTTCGCCGAGAGTCACTCTTAAGCAGCTAAGTTTGGTACATATTTTGGGGAGACAACTTAAGAGAATTCCTTCTGTTCCCCACATGGGGGGATGTCCAATTGTCTACAGATGGGCTTTGGTCTCCACTCCAACACCCCTCATTCACATTGATACAATTGTTTATTTTGGGTCTTTTGTTACCTGACCCTGTCGACAACTCATGATCACACGGGCTGGTGTGCTTCTTCCATGTGGGCTTATTTGCTTCCATGCTAAATGGCTGCTTCTTTAACTTCAAGCTTTTAAGACTCCAGGCACTATATGGTTTGATAGTGAGGCACCATCCGCTTTCTTCCCCTTTGCTTATGCACCCATTTTGTCTTCAGGGATGTTGGAAAGGTGAGTATCGAAGAGTTTGAAGCCCTGTTTTGGTTTTCTTGTCCCTACTATCCTCAGAGATTCAGAAACCAGTTCGATGATGAGAAGATCAACAAATGTAGGTTGGGCTCTCAAGAGATTGAGGTGGTGCCCATGTAGACAAATTCACACCAGTGCTTCATTTAAGCTTGAACATTTCATATACACGTTAGTAGCTGTAAGTATAATAGGAAGACGAGGCGTTGAATATTGAATTTCAGTTACAAAACAATGAAGAAGCACTGTGATTCCAGAGCCCTGGAGATGCTGTGGGCTAAACTGTTGTCCACAAAGCTTAAGGTTAGTGGTTGTGGGGGGAGCCAGCTCCCCACAACTAATCACTGGTTAGGTAAGCACAATTGTAAGGTTAAGACATATAAAGATCATAGTAAAGTCGTAGAGAAAAGGGAGAGGTGAGAGAGTAAAATGAAGAATTCAGGCACATTTCATGGTAGCATGCTCACTTCCTGGATGGCCATGATCTCACCAGCCAGATCCACGCACAGTGTGGGCAGAGAGGGCAGGAGAGAGGATTTATTACTAACCAAGGCTTATATATCTTTTGGGGCATGCAAACCCTCTGATTACAGTTAACAATCTATGTCATAGGAAGGGGTTGTAACATAGGCAATGCAAGCAATAGGAGGGGGATGGCCTAGGGGTGTGCACGCAATAGTAGAGGGAGGGAATAGGGGTACATATGTAGCAAGATGGGTGAACCCGAGACTCAATATATTAGCCTAACCTTAGTCATCCTTGAGTGGTCCCAAGCTTGCCTTCGGGCACTCCTTCAATGGAACAAATCAGAAGGGAGTGGGCCCTACTTGGGGTGAGTCAGACTATACAGTCTGGTTGCTCTAGATAGCCTTAAGGAGAATAACCTCTGACCTACTTTCATTGACCTCCTAGTGCTCAATCATTTACCATGTGTAGCAAGCAGCGTCTTGGGTTTGTCACATATTTGGGGGAGACCACTTGGGAGAAATCTT